TTTTTTCCTTCGTCTGAGATCAGAACCTCATCTGTGGCGACTTTTGCTCATCATCCCCTATGTTACAACCCAAATATTAGGCGAAACCGCGCTGGCACTTCCCTCTTCAACGCAGTCATCAAATCTCTCTACTTCTCCTCAATCAACCGAGCCTGCCCACCCGCATAGACCGTAATACTAATGGGGTTCAGCGCTAGATCTTTTCTTCGGCCCTCTATGTTTCCACTCTTACTCGTTTGGTCTTTTCCACTCCGAATTCACCTTCATTGGTCTTCTCCTGTTGATTTCGGTGCCCCCCAGCAGTCTTATTAGCCTCTCTCCCACGTGTTGAGGCAATATAGTGAGGACCACTTAATTTGAGGCAGTCCATTCGCCCACATAGGCCGGATCTCCCTCGATGGACATCTGAGGACGCTAGGGCAGTTTACGAAGAGAGGGAAGCCCGCAACGCTTCTATCGATATCCGACCCGAGCAAATAGGACCGTCCACTCCACCAGGTTTGAAGAAGTAAAAACTGCAGTTGAGCTTGCAAAGAAGCAATCTTGGGAAAGTTTTCTCTTTCATATTAACACTCGAACTCCCACTTCCACGATTTTTTGGAGGACAGTGGCTGTTGCCCCACTCATCCTCGAGAAATCAGTGGCTTTTGAGACAGCACCCTCGAGACAGTGGCTGTACTCATCCTCGAGGCTTTGGCAGCTCATTTTGCGTTCTGGCTTTCCCACAGATGCGCTATTTCTCCAATAAAGGAAATTGAGTTTGAGAGAGCGCTAAACTGCGAAGATGATTTCAGTTAACTGTCGCTTTACACTAAACGAGTTATTGAAAATAATACGTCGCCTAGAAACTCGCTCCTCCCACGGCGCAGACCTCATATACAATGCTTTACTTGCGCATCTTTCTCCTGCTAATCATTCAGCACTACTCGCAATCTTCAATAAATCCTTCCGTCTTGCGGAGCGCCTCAACGAAAAGCAAACCTCATTTGTGAACTCGATCTCCAAATCGCAAAGGGATCCATGCGCCCCCTCGTCATATCGTCCAATCTCTCTTCTTTCCTGCGTGGGAATGATGACGGCTTGTGTGCGACTGACTGTCGTGATACATGGAAAAACAAAAGGCTTTACTTCCCATCAGTTTGGTCTTTGGCGCCGTCTTTCAACTATAGATGACTTAGTCTGACATGAGCATTAGATCAGAAAACTCAGAGGTACGGACGATTTTTTTCTGGCAGTCTATCTCAACCTCAAGGGAACTGTCGGCGGTTTCGTTTTAATTGAAATGATGCAATGTAAAAATCTTTAATTATTCCTATTGCAGGGCATAGACAATACCTACCTATATTCCTAATCTCGAGCGGATCCGTTCAATATTGAAATAGTTATGAGTGGTTAGGTTGCCTAAAAATGTTTTTTTTTTGTTTTAATTGAAACCGATGTAATGTAAAAATCTGTAATTATACATATCGCAGGACATTGATAATAACTTTTTAAATTACAAATTTCGAGCAGATCCGTTAAGTGTTGAAGGAGTTTATGAGTGGTTTGACTGAGCATAAAGATAGGTTATGCTTATGCGTTTGAGGTTCGAAGAAGTATCGATTCGGTCAAAGATTTCTCATATGCGTCACTTAGGGCTCAGCTTTGTTCGCTTTAGCTTTAATATATGTTGCTACATATATCTTAAAAATGAATATCTCCCAAATATACATCTACACATCATCATATCTACATACATACATCATACTTTTATATCATGCTAGTTTGCGAAGTTTGTCTATCGGTTCCTTTCCATACGACACCAATTGTTTGATTACTAAGAGATAGTGCGGCTATAGATTGAATTTATTTTTATTACCTACAATAATTAAAACATGAAAAGAAACCAGATCAGCCGCTATATTTTTTATTATTTTTCATTTTCTCTCTTCTTCTTGCCACACATTTCTTACTACACACAACAATCCATCATTTGTGGCCTTATCCTGTATGTGTCTTTAGTGTTTAAAACAATCTTACATTACTATTACCTAGCCAAAAATACCCCATCCTAACCTAACCGAACTGAACACAGCTTAACATATCTTAACCTAACGTGTCCTTACCTAACCTTACATAACCTAACCCAGCCCAATACAACCCAACCCAACTTAACCTAATCCAACCAGACCTAACCTAACCTAACCTGACCTAACCTTGCCTAACCTAATCAAACCTAAAATAACCACCCTATGGGTACGTACACAAGGAAAGCAAGTTTGCCCGCGCGGGCAACCTGCTCCAACCTGCCACAAGAATGAACATAAGATAATAATGTAAGTGTTCACAGTGAAAACCTATACGAATAGTCTTCTGCCGACAACCTGCTTATACCTATTTACCGGTATGTACTGCACATTATTATCTGCTCAACCTGTTTGTCATATGGTCATTTTTTTAATTAGCTGTACCTATAAACCCTCCATTTTCTATGCTTGTACTCAATTGGAGGGATTTTTGAGAGGTAATAACACATGATGAGCATCGGCAGTGATCAATTAATCACAGAGGTGTATGCTCGACCACCCATTTGAGACAAATGGAGTAAAGAGCACTCTAACCGAATTGTAGTTGAGAATTTTTGGGTTGACATTGCCAAGAAGATGAACTGTGAAGGTAAGGGAACATTGATTAAATTTTACTTTAACTGCATATCAAAAAAAGACCTGGTTTCTTCCTCTTGCGAATGGTTTCTTCCTCTCTAATGAAAAAGACCTGGTTTCTTCCAGCTGGTTTCCTGCTTCCTCTGTGAACACCCTCTTGCGCTTGTTTCAGGCGCCAGCCTCAGCGGTAACCAGCACGCTGGCAACCTGCTTACACTGTGTGCGTACCCTATATGATGGTCGCCTAGGCAACTTGTTCCTGGCTTGAACCTAACTTCAGCAAATGACGTATATTTTACGATATCTTTAATTTACAAACTGTTCTATTTCGATACCGTGCATGATTGAGGCCGGAATTCGCATTTCCAACACTCACTTCACTTATCTATTTACAATTTCAAGCGGGTAAGAGCTAAAACCTAAATTTGAATTTGTATTTAAACTAAACTTTAAACCAAGTTTAAATTTAGCTTTTAGCCGCTTGAAATTGTAAATAGATAGGTTTTACCACAAAGGTTTTATTTATAATTTTATAAAATATTATAAAAATAATATTATTTCAACATTACCTGCATACAAACAGCTCAATATAATAATATAAATAATATAATAATAATATAAAATAATATAATTTATAATATTTATTTATATATAAAAATAAAATAAATATTATAAATAATTACTGATTTATAATTTTTATTTATAATTCAGTAATTAGTACGCAGAGGCGCTTTGTAGCCTCTGCATGCGCTTCTTGACCGATTGATGAGCTAGCGATTGACAGGGGCCATGCCTCATGAAACACAAGCGCGGCACTTAGTAGATAGCTATTACAGAATTGATATCACTTGTTTGCCTAAATCGCAAATTAACTAAGAATTCAAATTAAATTAATTAATTATAGATATTCAATTCGTTCTGTGCTCTCAATGTATTAATTTGTGACTTCTGATTAGTGATTCTAGATTCTACGAACTGACGATGGAGCTGGTCTCCGAAACGTTTTCTATAAAGATATGAATTTTTGTGGACTATTCTTTGCTTTTAAATTCTTAGTTATTAGATAGCTGTCTGTGGTCTACCTAGTAAGGTTGATTGTGTACGCTGGTCCGGCATACCAAATGTCGACTAACACCACTCTCGGTTGGAGTCACTCTCTAGTAGAGAGCCTAATTGATCTTTATAGAGAAAATGGAGGCCTATGGATTGTTTGGTCAAATGAGTACAAAAATCGAAATGCAAAGGAACAAGCTATGGTAAAAATAAAAAATAGTTGGAGCTTTAAGAAACTTGTATGTAGCTGAAGTTCGAAAGAAGTGGTGAAGTTCAGCATTGCTGAAGTTCGAAAGAAAACCCATACGTTGCGTTCACAATTCCATCGTGAAATTAAGCTGAAACGAGAATCAACCAAATCTGGCGCAGGTGTTGACCAAGTGTACAAACCGAAACTATGGTGCTTTGAATCATTGATGTTCATCAATGTCAGCGATGCTTTTCGTCGGTCAACGTCTACTCTCGATGAAGACATTCAGATTTCAAATGATGTAAGTTACTTTTACATGACGTGTTTAGTTTCTGTGATTTTAGCTGTCAATTTATGCATTACCGTTTAGCGATTTGAAAGAATGATATAATATTGGTACGAATATTGTAACTTTTTATTTGGGTCTAGGTGGCAACTACTGTTCAAAGCGCGCGGTCTCGAGCTATCGCTTACAAACGTAGTGTGAACGGTTGTGCGCGGTGAGGCACTGCAGCAAACGACTCAAAGCGCATGCCGTTGCCACTAGTGTGAACGGGCCTTTACATGCAAAAGGCTATGCCCACCTGGAAACGTCACGAGCTCGAGACGTACTGTCCAGTTGACTTAAAATTGGCAAGGTTCTGCCTACGTCCCACTGGCGGTGTGAACAGTGCAGCTAACCACGAGATAGAATTTTTTTAGTGTTTGTTCAGATAATTATTAAATCGTATCTAATTTATGTTTAGGTAGCATTTTATATTTTATCAGCAACCCTAACTGGAAAAAATATGTCCTGGGTTATCTCTGTCACCTACTTAGGTCTGTGTCGACAATTGCAAGCGTACCGAGAAATGTTCGTTTGTACGTATTTACGTTACACTAAATACCTAATTTGAATTTTAATTCTACTTCATTCTATCAACACTACAATGAAGCTGTGGCATAATCATCGCATGTTTCGAACATGGGATATATTGAGCTGTTACGGAATTCACGTTCATAATGCGTTCTAAATACTAGTGACGGCAGACAATGTTAAGCACGAAAGTGTCAAAATTAATTAATTTATTGGTGGAAATTTTATCACACTCGTTTATATTCATTTCCTGCCCTAGGAATGGTAGCTCGGGCACACGTACAAGACCATGGTGTGTACATTGGGCTCAAGAACGATTACTCTTCCCTCTACTGGACTGATGGAGAGCCTGTGACAATCCTTAATTACGCCGACGGTGAACCCAATGGATATTGCTACGATTCTTGCACAGGTAAATGAACTTGATACTCGTTACACATAATAAAATTTTAGCAACGGCGATGATTATATTATTAAGCATGAATCCTTACGATGCCTAATGTTGGGAAGCTATTAAATGTGACATCGATATAGTTTCACATACATATAAAGGGACACTAAATATCATTGATGGTCCGTTGGCTAAAGCTTTCTTTTAACTAAATAGTAAATCTGCATGGACCTGATGCACTTTTTAACGCAAATTACGCCATGTGTTATCTAACATTGATATCACAGCATGAAATAGCTGAGTTAACTAGCAAGCAAATTCCCCACCTATACTTGAACACATTTTCGGCTCATAAACTACTAGCCAGATTTTATTCTTTTTATTTTGTCTATTTCTCACTTTTCTAAAACATTTCTATTTCTAAAACATTTGAACATGCTGCTCTGTGATGATAACTTATTCGCTTTTAGAACTGCTCCTGGCCGAAAGATCTAAGTCGATTTCTCACAAGGTATGTGTATGGTACTCTGAATATTTGTTCCTGCTACATGTCTGACATTGTTACCTGTAATGCCTTGGTGAACTTCCGTGAATGGTGATTGTATGAAGCAAAATCAGTAAATACGAAAGCATCGGATTTGAAACTAAATTAAAAATTTTTATCGACTTAATTTTAAAGGTGGCCATCGGTGTCTCATAGATGCGCCACTGGTGCCAATGGGCAGTTATTGATGGAAGAAGTGTTTTACGGGTAGGGGGGCCATCGGCAGGTTATAGGTGTGGGATAGGTGGTGCACGCCACTCTTAATTCACTATATAAATCATAGTCGCTCCACCTATGGCGTCCGCTGATAGCCATCCTAAAAACATAGGTGCTCCACTCTTAATTTTTATTTGGGTAGGAGTGCGAGGCGCCCCAGATAGCAGATCAAAGCTGATGGAGCAGATCAAAGCTTCGACAGCCATCCTAGACGACGTCTCAGGGGCAACTACAAGCGTGCTCGCGCTTGTATATTTAACTCAACAAATCTACAAGCTTCTCGCCTCAGCAAGCGCCGCGGGTGCTAGCGTGAGCGCGCGTCCTATCTGGCCACCCCTATGGGATTGTTTGAATATAATATGGTCGCTTCAGCGCGCTTACGCTCGAGTGCGCTTTCTCGCTTTCTGTCTGGCCGCACCCTAAGGCCCCTTTCACACAGGGCAGTAAATACTGCCAGCGTCCGACAGTATTTACTGCCGAACCTTAGCGGACATACGAAATGTGCACTGCTGTTCACACACGACTGCATTTACTGCGGCGTAGAATTTGACGCCTGACGCCAGCGTGTGTCGCGCTAAAACTGCGGCGGTAGATTTGTCGCGATAGTTTAGCTTGCAATGGTATTCAATGTAATCTTTCACAGTGGGCGGTTTTTGACGCCAGATCCCAGCAGACAGTGGGGGCCGTATTTTAGGTGTATAATAAACAGCACTGCTAGCCTGATAGATTATAGACTGATATTGTAACATAAATATCGGTACATAAATATTGTTACATAAACATAAAGATATACATTGTTAAATATATATTTCCTTAAAGTGATAGAGATATATTTTATAAAAGATATATTTTCCATAAAATATATAGGTATTTCCATAGAGGTGTATTTACATCATTCTCACATAGAGATATATTTTCATAAAGAAATATTGTTACATGAACATAGAGATGGACTGATGGTGCATAAAGCACTGCAAGACTGATAGATCCCAGCAGTAACAAGCGCCTCGTGTGAAAGATTGCGCTGTAAATACTGCCGCGGCATTTTTGACGCGCGCAGTATCTACTGTCCTGTGTGAAAGGGGCTTAAGACTGACTGGCAGTGCGCTCTCCGAGCTTATATACGCGGTGACCCGCGAGTAGTGACGTCACAGAAGGTGACGTAATAGTCGCTAATGACATCACGGCCTGACACGTCCCCCCTACGCTGTAGAAGCGTCCTCGCTTCATTAATATAAAGCAAAGCTAATACGTGGGTCAACGCATCAGTGTCATGTGTACAAGTTTCTTAACAATGATCGGAAATGTTAATTACAATGAGACTGTACGTTAAACATCAGTGCTTAGATTAGGCATTAATTAATTTGGCATTAATTTCAGACCTAATTTTAAGAAAAGGCTCAGTTACTAGAGTTTACATATGTCAAAGGACATCATAGTAGTAACTTAATATTACATAGAAGTTCAATGCCGGTTTTCTGGATTCATACGCTCAAGAATACAGTTTGTCACTCGGCAAGAAGAAAATACATTTTCATTGATTTCTAATTTTAGAGAACTATGTAATAGCCTTTTCTTAGATTTACTATGAGCTGCGTTGGATCATTTCGCAATTTCATTTAAAAGCAATCACATAACAGCAGGAAATTCATTTACGCTATGTTACTTTACATATAAATGGCTATTTCACTCATTTTATTAGATCATGATCCAGCAAGATGGTTTGCAATCGTGAAACCCAGGTACATTAGAAAACATATGAAATTCAATTCACAATACTATGATATGCAAATTATTTTCGGTACCTTTTACTAATCAGGTTAAAAAGTAACATCTTTATTTAATTATAGTTAGTGCTGAAAAAGGAAATGAGTTAGCACAAAATGATGATAATTATTCGGGATAAACTCGGATTCATCATCGAACATGATTGTATGAAATACAATGTTTCTATCAGTACGTTGTTAGTACAGTTATTTTTAATTGCTATCTCTCGTCTATCGGTACTTGTATTGAAGTCGTGCCTTTCCCCCTTTGGAAAATGACGCTCCTGTGTCGGCACTACATAATTGTGACTTTTACAACTTACGTTGGCTGACTGGACACAAGACTCTCAAGGTCAGCGATATATATACCATTACGTTTTCGAGAAAAAGTCGAAAGAAATTACTCGTTGTTAATACAGTATATGACTTCATTGAAGCAAGCACGAATGCTAAACTACTTAACGAGTATGACACACAACTCAACTCATGCCGTCGGAATAAGACATCGATATACATTCCAATAACATTGCGAAATATCGAACTGTTATTTAACATGATTAATTATCTAATCAATCATTATACTGTACGCTGTAGAACAGTTTCCGTACACATTCGAACATTCATGTTGGAATTTTTAGTACACAATGGAGAATAATTAGCAATAATGATTGATAAATCAAGTAAAATGAGATAGATCAAAAGAAATTAAAGCATTCTGCGTCAACATGTTAATTTCAAACTTGTGAAATATTACAGTTGAATGGAAACACAATAATTGTATCGAACCATTTGTCATTCGCAGTGCCTAATTCAAAGAGAATGTAATAAGTGAACAACAAAATTTCAATAACATTAAACATCGTTCGAATAAGAGGCAAAATGAAGATACAAACATGAGCAATTTTTACAATAAAATCGTTAAATTTCAACTACGGTTCGTCCATTTTAATGATCTCAGTGACCTGAGTTTAAAATTAATCTCCTCGGTAGTCATTATATCACGATATCACTTGCATTTAGCAAGTCTCATCAAGAATGAAGTATAAGAACCGTGCTATTGCTATGTAATTTAATTAGATTGCTAGTCTCATTAAAGATCTCATTAATGCCATCGCTGAGCGTGAAGTTATTCTCGCTTACGTAGCGATTTAATAAGACGATTTGTGAAAGGTAAGCAAATCCTGTTTGCCGCTTCATTAAATTTTTTGCGCTTATAGCAAAAAAAAATTATCGGTGAATTGAGGTTGAGTTTTTTTACGTGAATCACGTGATCAATCGTCGGCATGAATTCAAATTATAATGAAATCATCTGAAGAGAAAATTTCTCACGACATGATCAAGCGTTAGAAAATTTAGCTTATAACTTATAGCTCATACATCGTAATCACAGACAAAAATTATATGCAACTCAAAAAATTACCATATTACATTTAAATGCACATAATTGTATTCATGATGCATTAAAAGAAGAAATTCTCGACCAATCAAGGGCAGAAAAAAAAATATATACAGACTTTCTTCGATAGATTGAGTCAGCATTTGTTATATGCAACGTTAACTTTATGCAATTGAAATGCCAGTCTTTGACGGCTGAATCTACTCATGACTGTACAATAATTGTTACAGTTTAATCAAATTGATTAAATCTACCGTTTGAAACCACATGGATGTCTTATAACATCAACTCATTACTTTTACAGATAATGCAATTGAGTAGATAGCATGGTAGAGAAAGTAATGAGTAGAACATTATATTGCATACAAGAATTTCAAAAAACACTTGTCTATCAACCTTGCACAACCGAATATGATAGTTACAAAAAAATAATAGGCGGAAATTAATTATTTAGCGTTACCTAGATATTAGAATAACACATTAACACAAAAAATTTCCCTGTTGGAATCAGTGTTCGGTGCTTTTAACGCGCATCAATTTTATCGGTATATATACTCGACAATATTGCACAGACCTTTGTTGTAAGCAAAAATTGAATAACAGGAAAGGCACTTACAGTCTCGATCAGAAACTGCAAGGCGGGTAAGTCGTTCTCACAACAATTCTACACAGTCGAGCGCAATCTGCGAACGTCACAACGCAGATAAGCTGATTTAGCGGTTTCTTCGCATAAATCCCGACACATAGAACATTCTTCAATTTTGAAGTGCTACCACTCAGGCGTTTTCCATCAACAAGCTTAGCACGTTGACCATGAGCGATAAAAAAATCTACAGCATCGCACTGATGTTGATAGACATCGCACGGATGTTGATCGCAACATTGAAATTGAAATCTGTAGTCGGTAACATGTTATGAACAGACCGAGTTCAAAAGGTCCTCGAGTGTTAAAGTGTGAGAATTTTGTGGACTTGAAAACGTCTTACTTTACCTTTCCTTTTTGAATCATAATACAAAAATATTATTATCAAGTATGAGTTATCGAACGTGAACTGTTCTAATTCCACTTGTCTAATCGATAATCTAATCATAATTAGATCTCATAAT